CAAACATATTACCCATAGTTAAAATATCACATGCTTGTTTTTAAAATAAAGTAGTTTTTTAACCAATTTTTATAATTTTGTTAAGTGTTAGACTAATGCATGCTTGATATCTCATACATCTCTCCTCACATCCATGGCTTTTAGCCTAGCTATCGCTTAATGTCATACATCAATTCTGAAACCACCCATGTTAGACTAATTTCACGTATGATTTATTTTTTTTCGTAACTTTAAACTTTTTTAATTACAAAAATGAATGAAAACACTACGAGCAGTTATGTGATAATAAAGTTTCACTTTTGACCACAGAAAACTAAATTATTTCAAACCAAACTACATAGACTAATTGTAATTTACCTTCTAAAATAAAATTTTGACTCCTTTTTTCTATTAATTATCTATCTCTCTTTTTACCGTAGTAATTGCGCAAAAGTACCAATAATAGCATGTGTGGCTTAAAATTTTGTATATTACTTTGTTTAACACTTCAATTTCCTTCATCCACTCATCCACTCTTTTGTACTTTGTCTATAAATAGCTCTCTGTGCTTTAATTTCCTTCATCCACTTGCTGTTATGGACGGCCCTTCTTATTACTTGACTTATTAGAAATTCAATTCGTCGAAGCATGTAATTTTGAAGAATATTTTCAGTTTTCATGTAATACATAATACATCCACTTAAAATAAGTATAGGTGAGTGGGTGAAGATTAGTAGGTATGTTTCTATACTAATTAAGCAATGAAAATATTCTCCTAATGTAAATTGTGCTGTATGCCTTTGGAAATTGATTTTTTCTAAATATAAAATAGGCTCTGTTTGTATTCACAATGTATTAAAAATTGACGTAAATTCATTGAACCGATCAAGTAACGATAGTGACAGCATATATGAAATTAAGTAAAGAATAACTAAGGCCTTAAAGAAAACATTTACATAGAAATAACTGCTTTTGAGAAAAAAGAATCATGATTTATTTATCATAGCTGGCCTAGGACCAAATAAATTATAGAAACTTAAAGGGACAGTTTGTTAAATACAACGCATAAGAAAGTAACATTGCATGTGTACCTAACTCTGTTTATACCTTACGAGTCAACACAAACTTAAAACATGTAGCAACTCTCTTCCTCTAAGGGGAAAAAAAAAAAATCTTTTGTAGTAACTAAGTTCACCAAGCTCCAAATATGGTTACTTTGTGAACATATTGATATAGAAAATATAAAGCATCTGAGAGCCTTCTATTTCCAAATCTACCCAGCTATATGCAATATGATGGTCCCATGCTGGTAGAATCCACCTACAGTTGGGACTCACTTTCATTTATATCTGTTCATGCAAGTTTCCTAGTTAAGGTAGGGTGGATTGTTGACTTAAATCAATTAATGAGAGTAAGAAAGTGAAGATGGCTCACTTACTAGACTTCTATAGTTTAAATGGAAAGAGTAGCCTTAATGATGGGATGATTATTTAGCATGATTTAAACACTATTTTTAACCACCAAGCACGTGGATCAACTTGTAAGGAATTGTCCCAGCTTAACCAGTGGTCTTGAGTTTAAGTCCCTGGAACACAACTGTGTTAAAAACTTGATAGGGAGAGCTTTGTTGCTTACATAGTCCTACCTGACTCGAATCAAACTAGTCGAGTAATCGATGAACCGATAAGATAATATAAAAAAAAAAGGACTATTTTTATAGACGGCTGATTTTTTGACGAGATTTCATGATCTTGCCATGATGCTTTTCACCCGAGCTATATAGCTGGAATCCACAGATATTCCATAGTAATATATTTCAGTCATTCAAAATAACTTAGTCAGAACTCGGGAACCAATGTGTATTTTACTGATGGTTAAAATGAATTGACTTGAGATTTTTCCCTTATGTTACTTGTCAATTTTCATCCTCTTTTGCAACATATTAAAACTTGGTTTGGCTGGCCAATCAGGAGAGAGCAAAAATTATGATGAAATGGGCAGAGCTAATTGATCAAAACATAGAAGAAATAGCAGCAATAGATGCCATTGATGCAGGAAAATTGTACCATAAGTGTAAGGCTATTGAAATCCCTGAAGCAGCAAATACTATACGTTACTATGCTGGTGCTGCTGATAAAATTCATGGAGAGGTATTAAAACCGGCTCGGGAGTTGCATGCATATACTCTTTTGGAACCAATTGGTGTTGTTGGACTTATCATTCCCTGGAATTTCCCTAGCGCCATGTTCGTCGCCAAGGTTAGTCCTGCCTTGGCTGCTGGTTGTACCATGGTCCTCAAGCCTGCTGAACAAACACCTCTCTCTGCTTTGTTTTATGCTCATCTAGCTAAGTTGGTATGTTTTCTACAAATACTTAATTTCCTTATCAAATTGACTCTTGTAAGTTAACTACTTAAAGCTATGCTGATTGGTTTTCCTTGTTTTTATCTTTTGAAGGCTGGAATTCCAAATGGGGTGCTCAATGTAGTACCTGGATTTGGCCCAACTGCAGGTGCTGCAATAAGTTCACACATGGAAATTGATAAGGTAACATATATGTCAAACATTTGGAAGTACCATGATTTAAAGTAAGAGTGATAGAATTGCATTGATTGTGCTTGTGTATGTATATAGGTCAGCTTTACTGGTTCAACAGAAGTAGGCCGTGAAGTAATGCATGCCGCAGCTAGGAGTAATTTGAAACCAGTTTCACTTGAATTAGGAGGCAAGTCACCCCTCCTAATCTTTGATGATGCTGATATAGATAAAGCTACTGAGCTTGCTCTCTTGGGCATCCTATTCAATAAGGTGAAATTTCTTTCAAAAAATCATATTCCTTTTTATAAAGCAACATATTTGTACATCTTCTAACAAATGTTTTTTCTTCTTTCCCGATTTCAGGGAGAAATTTGTGTTGCAGGTTCCCGTGTATTTGTTCAGGAAGGAATCTATGATGAATTTGAGAAGAAGTTGGTGGAGAAGGCAAAAGCTTGGGTCGTTGGGGATCCTTTTGATCCCAAAGTTCAGCAAGGGCCTCAGGTATGGATATAGTAGCACAACACAATTATGTGTGCACTAGTTCTAAATCATATCTTTGTTGTTTTTTTAGTAATCCTCCAATTATTACATTTTCTAAACACTGTGCTTGGCATCATGCAAAAACCAAAATTAGAGAAGTAATTACTAATTAGGATCCTCCTTTGTTGGCTGTTAACAGTTTCCTATTGTAGGTTGACAAGAAGCAATTTGAAAAAATTCTCTCCTATATTGAGCATGGAAAAAGAGAAGGAGCCACCCTTTTGACAGGGGGTAATAGAGTGGGCAACAAGGGCTACTACATTGAGCCTACAATTTTTTCTAATGTTAAGGTGAATTCTAACTCCACAGGACAATTAGATTACTAACCATCATGTTGTCTTATCCTTTTTATTCTTAACAACATGTTTAGGAGGACATGCTTCTCGCACAAGATGAAATATTTGGTCCAGTGATGGCGCTCATGAAGTTTAAGTAAGTTTATACTTTTAATTCACTTTTTGTTGTACTCCTAGTATCAAAAGGAATATATGTGATTTTGTTCATGAATACTAAATTTTTATGAATGAAACATGAACAACAGGACCATTGAGGAAGCAATTAAAAGTGCTAACAACACTAGATATGGCTTAGCAGCAGGCATTGTGACCAAGAGCTTGGATACAGCAAACACTGTGTCAAGGTCCATTCGTGCAGGGATTGTTTGGATAAACTGTTACTTTGCCTTCGGAAATGACATTCCTTATGGAGGTTATAAGATGAGTGGGTTTGGAAGAGATTTAGGATTGGAGGCTCTTCACAAGTACCTACAAGTTAAATCTGTTGTAACACCCATTTACAATTCTCCTTGGCTTTGACTAAATGTTTCTGGGTTAATAATATAGAGAACATCTTTGGTACTCTATTAAGTACCACTCCCATTTAAAATAAAATTACCAACTATATATTTGGAAAATATATATGTATTTTTTTTTCTCTCTCTTTGGGAAAAGTATCAAAAGAAATATTGTATTTTTGTTGGACAGATGTAAATACCATACTAGTCTATTTGTTGGAAGAGTAGAAGATAATATTGAAAAATATGATGAGTTAGTTGCTAGAATATAATATCTTATACTAGGTCAAATTTAGTTAATAGTAAGAAAGATGAGGATTATCCTTATCATAATGGTATTGGAAGAGTGACCATTTTGTCACACTTCGCAAAAAAAATTACTAGACTGCCACGTCAACAGTAAATTTTGTCAAAATGTCACGCTGCACCCTTAGCCGTCGTTGAAGAAGTCTGAAAATATAACTAATTTGCATTATCTTATCTTAACTCTTAATTATTTTCAGACTTCTTCAACGACGGCTAAGAGTGCAGCATGGCATTTTGGTAAAATTTACTGTTGGCGTGACAGTCTGGTAAATTTTTTTGTCAAGTGTGGTAAAATAGTCACTCTTCCAGTATTTGTTATTAAACTCTTTGAATCAAATTCTATTTAAAGGTAAGTGAAACCTTCCTTGGAATAAATAATAAGGAGGAGATTTTTAAAGTGTGAATGTAGGTCTCATTTAATGATCCTCCAATAGTATTCTGCTCGCGTGCACTGAGGGTGTTTTTATTTTTTTCAGTATTTTTCAATTCTAATTTATGAAAACTTTTAAGTATCAATTTGAACTTAATTTACACAATGATAATTATGTACATATATGTTGAACATCAATTTAAATATAAATAATTACATTAATTACACAAAATATTTGAGAATAATATTAATTCTGTAATTTTTAAATTATTTTAGTTCATGTTTGTATTATCCACTGTTGAGACATTATGCGTTATCTTGTTCTATCTTTTTTTTTCCTGGTGGGAGGCCCGAGGGCGCACTAAATTCTTATTCTTCAATTGAATTGAATGAAATATATATTAAAAATAGATTACTTAACAATAATTAAACGAAATATATTTTAAAAATAAACAAGAAGAGAAAGACTAACATATAAAAATCATAAAACATTATCTACACAGAAATTTCATTGAAATCATTAGTCTGGCAAATTTTCAGACACAAACATTACTTACAACAACGTTACACCAGACCAAAACAAACAGACCCTAACACGGATAATAAAAGACCCGGAAAAAAAAAAGAGTGAGAAATTCATTTTCCGACTTTGCCCCTGAGCTTCACTCCAAGGACCCTCTCCATCTTGGCAAGCACGGCCTGGTTAGGAACGGCTTTTCCATTCTCGTACTCCTGAACCACCTGCGTCCGTTCGTTTATCTGTTTCGCCAGCTCAGCCTGGCTCATTTTCTTATCCAAACGCGCCTTCTGTATCGCGTGCCTCACCTCCCCCGCCACGCGCTCCAGAGCAGCCGGTTCGGTCCCTTCGTCGAGCTTCCTCGCGTTCACGGCCGGACCGGCGGTTTTCTTGTTCGAACCGGCGTCAAACTTCTTAACCGTCAGCACCTCCGAACCGGACCGGAGAGCCTGGTTCATAACCTTGGGGTTGCGCAGGTCCTGAGCCTTGGGCTTCGACTTGTGCAGAACCACTGGCTCCCAGTCTTGCGTTATGGCTCCTGTTGATCGTGTCGGCATCGTAACAACTAACAAGTGATGAATGAAAATGAGAAACGAAAGGTTCTGAGGTTCAACGAAGAAGGTGTAACGGATCGCGCGAAGCGTTTGGCTATTATATTGGTGGTGAGTATCTGGAACGTTCTATTTTTCTATGCTGGTGATATGTATCTGGAACGTTCTATTTGTATCGTGAACGTTCTATTAAGGTGCTGATAAATAAAAAATGAAAGTGAGATGAACTTAATTAAACAATAAAATTTATGCGTTAATAATGTGGAACTAAATAAAAATCTTATTTCATTTAATGAATGATTTAAGTCATGAAGATCTTTAATGAGATCTATAATTAGTTTATTATTCAACTCAATGCAAAAAAGAAAGGAAAAAGGATAAATTTAAATCTTTAGAATTTAGAGGATAGTCTTCAATTTTTTTTTCATTCCAACAACACTTATTTAGATTATTTTAATATTTATTTATATATTTTAAATGAGAGTTACTTTTTTTTTAAAAAAGACACATTATATCTCAGTGTATTTGAATTTTTTATTTGAAAAAATAGAATATTAAAAAAAAGCATTTAGAAGAGCACATGTCAGTATACTTCTATTATATATAACTTCCGTAAACCCTTGTTTTATATGATATATAAAATATGATAATATAAGCTTATGACATTTTTATTTATTTAATATATCATCACATAATATAAATTTATACATCAGAATCTTTTAATATATTAAAATGATGTATAAGATGAGCTGGGATAAGCCATAATAAGAAATTAATGTATTAATCTAAATCCTTCTTCTTCTTTTTCTTATTGTAACCCCACTGTAATCCCTATTTTTTCTTGTTCAACATTGAAGAAAATGAACTGCTAACAAAGGTGTACACAGTTGGCTAAAGTTTGGTCTATATCTTTCAAGGATGTGGGTTCAAACTTCGCTGGTCGATGTGAGAACTTTGTTGGTGAGTGATATGTAATTCCTCTTAGAAATCCTCAAAAAAATTGGGGGTCTTCCTTGACTCTAGTGGGATACTGGTGTGTAATTCCACTTAAATTTTTTGTTATACAAAAAAAGAGAAAAAGAAAATGAACTTCGATCGAACTCACACCACACACAGAGATACCAATGATTTCAATCGAACCATGGCCATGGTCATGGAGCTTGACTTGGATTCCATGGCTGCTTCAATCGTTCTTTGGTTCCAGTATCAAACCTTATCATATCGTATAAACCAAATATTAGCTTTTATAAGTAGAATACACCGTAAATTTTTATTGTAATCTTATCGTTGCATTTTTTTCCCAGCCTAATTTTTTTTTGTCACAAATAATACTAAGTAGTAAGGACAATAACATCACAACAAAGCAATTTTTAAAAGCAAACGACTCTTTATTTTTTTGGCATTATTTTTTTTTTTAGCAGCTGCAGAAAAGTAGTGTTTATCTCAGAGATAAAAATTGAGATATACTAATTAGTCTTTTTAAATTTTTTTTATCAGGATCCGACATTATATCTTAATAATTTTATATCTATGAGAGGCAAAATATTTCTATTGCAGAAATAGTTTTTTTCCTTTTTTTTAATGGTTTAACATGCTAGCTGAAAGTAAAACATAAATTAGTAAAATCTATTTTTTTTTTTTTTTTTGAAACAAGACGACTTAATTCAATTTTCGGGAAAAAGAGAAGAAAAAAGCACGTTTTCTTTGCGGTGACTTGACAAGTGTTTCTAATGAGGATACTGTATTAAAAGTTTATGTGCAAAAAAATTTATTTATTGTAATTTAATTAAATAATTACGTATTTATTATAGTTTGAAAGGTATTTACAGATCTATTGCACAATGTTACGCCTTTTTTGGGCGTCACATGAGACGCCTCATTTGGGCGTCTCTCACCAAGGGAAGACGCCCCAATGGGTCGTCTCTCATGAGGTGTTGACACGTGTCATTTCTCTCTCTAAAAAAATAATAATTTAATCATAAAACTTCTGAAGGCCATAACTTTTGACTTGGGTATCCAATTCAGGTAATTTTTTTTTTGATTCCACATCACTTTTCGAGATCTACGCAATGACATCTCATTTGATATATTTTATTTCTCACAAACATAATTTAAATTTGCAAGAATGGTACTATACGAGCGTTTAAACCTAAAAGTCTCTTAGTTCTTTTCGAATCAACACCAAACACACCAAAACCAAGTGTTTGAAAAAGAATAGTGTACAATGTTATTGAACCGAAATTCGTATTGTATATCATTTGGTTGATTTTTCGTATCTTGAATCATACGGTATCATAAGTTACATCCTTCTATTTTATGACTTTTTTCTTTAAAGCCATTTAAATTATAGCTTCGGAATGGTTTTCAAAAATAAAATCCTTCTCACTTGGAGATTTATAATATTTATTTAATTATTTTTTTATTATACAGATTTTTCAAATTGATTTTTGAGTTTAAGTCACAAATCAAATCTTTATTTTGTTTTCCTTATTAATGATAATTTTTTAGATTTTTTTAAATTTAAATCACAAACCAAAACTTTATTTATTTTTTATATTAAAAATTAAAAAATGTGATTTTTTTTTTAAATTTAAATCACAAACTAAATCTTTATTTTTTTATATTAAATCACAAATCTAATACTCAGAGGCTTGTGGATTTAAACGCTCTTATAATACCATTCTTGCAAATTTAAATTATGTTTGTGAGAAATAAAATATATCAAATGAGATGTCATTGCGTAGATCTCAAAAAGTTATGTGGAATCAAAAAAAGAATTACCTGAATTGGATTATTTTTTTATATTAAATCACAAATCTAGTACTCAGAGGCTTGTGGATTTAAACGCTCTTATAATACCATTCTTGCAAATTTAAATTATGTTCGTGAGAAATAAAATATATCAAATGAGATGTCATTGCGTAGATCTCGAAAATTTATGTGGAATCAAAAAAAGAATTACCTGAATTGGATACCCGAGTCAAAAGTTATGGCCTTCAGAAATTTTATGATTAAATTATTATTTTTTTGGAGAGAAATGACACGTGTCAACACCTCATGAGAGACGCCCCATTGGGGCGTCTTCCCTTGGTGAGAGACGCCTAAATGAGGCGTCACATGTGACGCCCAAAAATGACGTCACATTGTGCAATAGATCCGTAATTATTTCCAAAACTGCAATAAATGTGTAATTATTTAATTAAATTACAATAAATAAATTTTTTTGCCAAAGTTTATGACTATTTGTTTCTTAGAAGTTTATATTTTTTTTTCCTTATCACTTTTTATTATTAATTTTATTATCGTTATATCAAAATTAAATCAAGTTCTATGTTATTTTGTAATTGTTGATTTAGTTTTAATATAATAAAAATAAAAATAATAATAAAAGATGGTAAAAAAAATTGGTGGTAAGTCTAGTATATAGGTATAGTATATTATAACAACCAATTAGTATTACTACCAATCAGTTTTACTGTTAGATCAATTATGTTAATTCAACGATCATATTTATTTTCATCTTTGTATGATTATGATTTCTCTCATTTAATGTAAAAACATTAAATATGAGAAATCATAACCATACAAAGGTGAAAATAAATATAAAATATTAAATATGAGGAATCATAATCATACAAAGATGAAAATAAATATAACTGTTGGATCAACATAATCGATCTAACGATAAAATTAATTGATAGTAACATTAATTGGTTGTTACAATATCTTTTCCCTAGTGTATATATAGGGAGGTTATACTTACAACCTCATATCTTAACTGTTAATTTTCGCCAATCAACGGTTATCATTTATTGTGAATTAATAATTAATTAATAAATTTTATTTGCGAAAATCTTAACCGTTGATTGACAGAAATTAATGGTTAAGATATTGATTGTAAGAGGTTTTAAATAAAAATAGGTTGTAAGTATAACCTTTCCCATATATATATATATATATATTTTTTTTTTCAAAAGTTAAGGAAAATTAAGTAATTAACCATACATAAAATTAGAAAAAAGAAAAGGTAAAGATCTGATGGAAGAGGAACACTGAATAGTAGTATTTCCACGGCGCTCCAATGCAATGGGTTAAGCGCGAAAATGTTTTTTGGCGCTAAAATATTCAAATTTCTACCTTGTAATCGTTTATAGATCACAAAACCTTTATTTCTCTCTATCTCTATACTGAAGATGAATCGCCAGAAATCTATACTTTCATTCTTCGAGAAAACCACGCCGGAAAACCGTAGTTCCGGCGGCCGGCGAGCTCCTGCTTCGTCGGTTCAGCAAGCTAACCCGGCCACCTTCAATCAACCGCCGTCGTCGGCCGATGACGTCAGAGGAACCGACACGCCGCCGGAGAAGGTGCCACGTCAGCTTTTACCGGCGAGCTTCGCGCAGAAGGAGAACAACTTTGGTCCGTCCCTGTTTGAGAGCATCATGCATAAATTCGTCAAGGTTGATGATAGCGAAAGAGTTGGTAACAGGTACGTATCGGTTTTTTTTTTGTTTCGCTTCGAATCGTTACCTTAGGGTTTTGCTTAATGGAAATACAAGAAAATGGAATGTGCGTTGTTCGTACTATCGTAAGATTTCGATGTTTTATTCTAATGTTTTCGTATTCATTTGCGTCAAAGGCTAGAGAGTAATGCAATTTGTTTCAATCATTTATTGGAAAATAATGTTTAAGGAAATGACGCTGACGCTTAGTGTTGAGGATGACCTATGATTTGGAACTATTCAGTAAAATTGCACGATAAGGCTTTTGTAAATTTGAAATACTACAACAGAATTTCATTGTTTAGCCAAGTTAGACAGTACTGAACAAAAGATGCAGTTGAAATTGAAAATTGAAACTGAAACAGTTACTTTATCATAATGAAAAGTGATGTTTATTGAATGCTAAATTGATCTTATGTGATAATTTTTGCAGGAGCCAGTCATCAAATGAGAGTTTGCCTAAATCTTCACCATCATCAGGAATATGTACTGATACTAATAGTAAAGGGCTGCACAAGGAAGTTGCAGCTTTTCAACCAATGGTGAAAGTGAAAGATAATGCAGTAAATTTCAAGGAAAAGGCTAAGCAGGAAAATATGGTCCTGGTTATTGACGATAATATTTCTGGTCCCGAAACCCCAGGGATGCAGCCTCTTGCCTCTCATGCAAAGCGAAGTCGAGAGGATGGATCCAAGTATTGTTCCTTGCTGGATTCTGGCAAACGAGTCAGATTTCTTGATGATTCAACAGCACCAAACATGACTAAGAAGGAATTAGAAGTGGCTAGCAAGTTTGAATGGCTCGATCCTTCTCAAATCAGGGATGATAATAGAAGAAGGCCCAATGATCCATTATATGACAGGGCGACACTTTATATACCTCCAGAAGTCTTGAAAAAAATGTCAGCAACGCAGAAACAGTATTGGAGTGTCAAATGTAAATATATGGATGTTGTGCTATTCTTTAAAGTGGTTAGTCAACAAGTACTTTGAATATTGATGACTTAATTCCTTTACTTCCCATTCTTCATTTATTTTTGTATACATAACCTTTGATTAATAATTGTAAGCCAAAATTATTGGCCAACACAGGGAAAATTTTATGAGCTTTATGAAATCGATGCTGAAATTGGCCATAAGGAGCTTGATTGGAAAATAACATTAAGTGGTGTGGGAAAATGTCGGCAGGTGATTTCAAGATTATAGTTTTTTGGTTCTTGACCAATTTTTCCTATTTGGTTCTCTTAATGTTAGTGGCTTTTACCTGTTGATTCAGGTTGGTGTATCGGAAAGTGGGATTGATGATGCTGTTCAAAACTTGGTTGCTCGTGGGTAAGGGTGAAGTGGATTTAATTTCATAGTTTGTAAAACTATATTTATTGTGTGCCAAGTGGAGATTTTGTGCAACATATATATGATCATAGCTGATTCCAGATAGATTGGACTGTATGCATTAAATATCAATAATAAATAAACATGTTGATTTCCAAGTTAACTTGTTGTAACTTAGTATTCTTATTTCATTGTGAAGATATAAGGTTGGACGAATAGAGCAGTTGGAAACATCTGAAGAAGCAAAAGCTAGAGGAGCTAACTCTGTAAGTTTTCCCATGATTAAAGTTGTGCTGGCTACCTAGCTTCACAAAGCTCATTTAGATTTTTTGTTAATTGTTATTTGGCCGTGCTTGACGAGTTATGCTTCAATTAACTATGCTTTCTATATATATATATATATATTCTGTAGCTTACTATAATACACGAGAGATTATTCCAGGTCTCTATTTCTTCAATTAGCATTCTAAACTTCTCATTTGTTATTTTATCCAATATGATGAAGGCAACTTTTTAGGAATTTCACAATTGATATTGCAGACAGTAAACTTGGCAAGACACGTTATTGTTATTTGAAAGTGTTCCTTTCCTGATTTTTGAATTTTACAACTGATTTCAGATCAGTCTTTGTATAATATTGTACCCAGTATCCTTAATGCTTTTGAATTTACTGCTTTTTTACATGGTATGACTGTCACTGCTGGATTGCAGGTTGTTCGGAGAAAATTAGTTCAGGTAGTCACTCCATCAACTGCTGTGGATGGTAATATTGGCCCTGATGCCGTTCATCTTCTCGCAATAAAAGAGGTTCTCACTTCTCACTGTTACTGAGTTAATCATTTTATGTATGCTATTATAAGTATCTGTAATATATAGTTATGTTAAATGTTAGTACTTTGAATCATTAACATGATGATGAATTGAATATTTTCTACAGAGGAACAATGGCCTGGATAATGGTTCAGTTGTGTATGGATTTGCTTTTGTTGATTGTGCTCGTCTAAGGTTTTGGGTTGGTTCTATTGATGATGATTCATCTTGCTCTGCTTTGGGGGCTTTATTGATGCAAGTATGCTCAAATACCCTTCCTTTACCTATTCCCATTTTTTTTTTCAAGTTTCTGTCAATGATCATTCAGATTTTCAAATTTTAGCTAATTTGATTGTGGGAATGTGGTTTTAGGTGTCACCCAAGGAAGTTATATATGAAATCAGAGGTGAACAGTCTTATTGCTTTGCCTCTAACTTGATTACACTTCATTTCTGAAGGTTATATCATATTACTCTTTCATGTTAAAATATGTTGTTTCACAGGGTTGTCCAAAGAAGCTCAGAAAGCACTTAGAAAATTCTCGTTAAATGGTGAGATGTGATCTTCCTTTGTGGTTTAGGGATACATTAGCATGATATTGAAAGCATTCTAGAATTTTAAATGGGTTTTTCTATTTTCTTTACTGTGCTTTGGCTCGGAAGCAGTATGTGAATTACAAGACTACTTGGAAAATTAATCATTTTTCAGTTTTTAAGTTAATAACATCTTGTGTTGGTCGATTATTGTAAGTTATTCCTTGGTGCAGTTAGTTTTGCTGTGATTTAGATATAAGCAATGTTTTAATATTGACACTATACCATGTTCTTTTTGAATGACCTAGACAGTTAATACTTGTCTTGTATCCCTATGATATCTGTAAATATCAATAGAACAAAACAGTTTCATAGGGATTCAAGCTACTTGTTCCCTTTTGAAATTAAGCTGATATGGATATTACCTTCACGATTCTTTGTGATATATCTGCAAGTAGTGATATCTGCACATTTTATATTCTGTTTTACATGCTGAATTGCTGATAATTTGTTGTTCAAGTGGAAAAAGAAAAACGGATTATGCACTTAAATGTACATCTATCTGTGCATTATTACATTGTGAATAATTTGAGACAAGTTGCAGTAGGAATAATTTGGAGTTCGCAAATTTTCGCACTTTGCTGCAGTTTTATAATTTGGCATAATATCAACTTTTTATGGCATAAAGCTTTTAAAATATTTTATTTACTATGCTAAAATGAATTTATTTATTTTAAATTTTAAAAGTATCCTTGGATCTTATTATTGGTTTCTTTCCCTCTTGCAGGTTCAACAGCACTACAGTTGACTCCAGTGCAGTCGATCACTGACTTGGTGAACTCTGAAATTAGTGATTTAATTCAGTTGAAGGGATACTTTAATGGGTTGTCTCATTCACTGGATCATGTGCTGAGCAAAGTGATTCATCGTGAAATCACCTCGTCTGCTCTTGGTGGACTGATTGGTCATCTAGATAGATTGATGGTATACTTTGGTGCTAACTATGATGCCCTCTTTGAGAGGGTTAGTACTTAAAATATCGGCTGCTATGTTGTTTATGATGATTAATGTGTTCTACTTTTCATACAGTTAGATGATATCCTACAGAATGGGGATATATATCCATACCAAGTTTATAGGGGTTGCCTCAAAATGGATGGTCCAACATTGATAAATCTAGAGATCTTTGGCAATAATGCGGATGGTGGCAAATCAGGCAAGTACATGTTCTATTGGAGCATTGTTAACCTTGTAATGTATATTCATTGGAAATTTCAGTATGGAATCCTGGAATTTATTCTGCTTGAATTTCAGGTACACTGTACAAATATCTCGATAACTGTGTGACTTCATCTGGAAAGCGGCAGCTGAGGAACTGGATATGCTGTCCGTTAAAAGATGCTGAAGGAATTAATAACAGGCTTGATGTAGTGGATGATCTAATGGCTCGCCCAGAGATTATGTCAGATATTGCTCAACATCTCCGCAAGCTTCCAGATTTGGAACGATTGCTTGGCAGCATTAAGTCCAGCCTTCAATTATCAGGCCCTCAGTTACTGCCCTTGTTGGGAAAGAAATTATTGAAGCGGAGGGTGAGTTCCGCTACTGTTTTTTATGCTAAATTTGTAAAGGATATGCTAATTATTTTTTATTCTGATGTCTGAACAACTTTTCTTCCGTCATGTTTTGACCTAATTTCTCATTTTAATGTAAAAGAAAACACATTGACTTGATGGCAACATATCTTTTTAATATGAAGAGACTGGTGTCTCTCATAAACTAGTGTCATATAGAATGGAGACTGCAATGTTTAGAAGGAAATGTATCAGGCTATTTTTATAAACACTGAAATTGGTATTCTGAGAAATTTATCTACACTAAAGGAAAAATTCTGATCACATTGATTTTTGGAAACTTCGTTGTCCAAGCTGGGTTAACCTATCTACTTATGTAGGATTGTCAGACCGTAATTTATGATAATGTGTAGAAAATCTGTACCAAAGGTTGTAGAATGATTTTCGTTGTACACTTGTACTGTTTTTTTGTTATTTAGTGCTCACGAATAATTTTTAATGAAAAGCAGGTGAAAGTGTTTGGATCACTTGTGAAAGGCCTTCGGACTGCTTTAAGTTTGTTGCTTCTTCTACAGAAAGAGCAGCCTCTAATATCATCCTTGGCTAAAGTTTATAAACTTCCAATTCTGACTGGTAGTAACGGGCTTGATCAATTTCTTACTCAGTTTGAAGCAGCTATCGATAGTGACTTCCCATATTACCAGGTATTTTCCTTCCTTATTGCACTTTCCTACAACATGAACTGAAACTTCCCACACATATTCTTCCCAGCCCAGCCCTATGGGAGCTGTGCCTGAACATTTCTTTTGATTAAAATTGTTAATCTGGAATATAGATTGGTCGGAAATTGCCATGTATCATCTTTGGTTATTCTGTTATTTTGGTTGGAAATTAGAATACAGATCATATTCTGTTATTCTTTGGAAATTGGAACGATTGATAAATTCCTAACAATTTATTTATTAGCGTAAGAGATAAGTTTTTTTTTTTCCTGAAAATGGATGTATTTCTAGTTTACAATATTGGATATATGATTGAAACGGAGGTACCTCGTTGTGCATGAGCACTGATCAACCAAATCCAAGACTAAGAAGTGTGAGTGGCTGGCAGGAAGCCAACCAGCCTAGAGTGTGACAAGTCCAAGGAGGGGAGAGCCATAGCCCAAAGACTGTCCAGGTGCAACATGCATCTGACCGGTGACTGTCAGTGACAGAGGCAAGCAGGCAACTCAACTGGCCATTGGACAAGTACAGACAAGTGCCCCAGTTGCACAACAGTGCAGGTGTGGGAGATTTAACACAGGAAAGGGCTGGGAGGAGATGAACCGTTGGGTAATTTGGGGACGGATTGGCGAATTAGAAAATTTTTAATGTGGCTCCTGGGAAGTTTGGGGGGCGTGGGGGCCAACATGTTGGGGAGAATGCCAGAAATGGTAATGGGTAGTGAATAATGTCATGACCTTTTTATTTTATTAAAAAGAAAGAAAGAGGTAGGAGACAGTATCGCCCAATTTTGCAGCGCGAACACTTCTTTGTTGCCGTGGTTGCGACAGGCGGCGCAAAGAGGGTCATCCATGAGAACACCGGGTAATGGGTAGTGAATTGAGGCATGAAAGCAGGGCATAGGGCTCTCTGGTTTGGGGATGCTCTAAGCTCCGACAGTAATTGGTGCTTGAATTTGAGGCTCTGGTCTTTGTGTTGGTTCGGCCTGATTCTGGTCACATTCTAAATTCATGCCAGGCTAGGCCAAGTGAAAATTACTGGGGTTTGTATTTTGCTAACTCAGCCCACTTTTTGTCAGCTATTAGGACTAGTTTATTAGGTTTGATTCATTTTGACACCTGTATTATATGCCCTTTTAACAAGTTTAATAAATTAACTCAAGATCCTTCTGTTGATGTTTTCAACATCATTATGATAATGGTCAAATCCATTTCTACTTTGTTTTTGTTAAACGTGTGCAAGTTTGCAGCACTACTGATTCTTACTGAATTGCATCTTCTGTAGATAATTAGCAGTTTTGGCACTTTGATGTATCTCAAATGTTGATTTTAAATTTTTAATCAATTATATGGTCTTTTTTTAGAACTTATGCAATTTTGTTATCTTTAAATTTATTTTTTGTAATTAGGGTGATGGTTAGAATAGAATATTTCACTTGAGTATATGTCCAACTGAGCGTAGCCATGAATAATAGAGAAGAGAATCCTTTGTTATTTCTGGTCGATTTTCACTTGTTACAGAGTGTTAGAATACATAGACGGTACACACTAAACATATCTTAATCATAGGATATATGACAGCTACTCCTGGAAAGTAGGAGAACTATCTCAATAAATCTTTCTATTTGCTACACTGACCTTATATTTGGTGCCAGAATCATAATGTCACAGATTCAGATGCTGAAACACTCACAATACTCGCTGAATTATTTTTGGAGAAAGCTGCTCAATGGGTTGAAGTTGTTCACGCCATCAATTGCATTGATGTACTAAGATCTTTTGCTGTGACTTCTAGCTTTTCATGTGGAACTATGTCTAGGCCTGTCATAGTGCCAACATCAGAAAGTACAAGTAAAGACAGTGGGGGACCTGTGCTCAAAATGAAGGGGCTATGGCATCCATTTGCCCTTGGAGAGAGTGGATGTTTGCCTGTCCCGAATGACATAATTCTTGGTGGGAATGAAGATGGGTGTCATCCTCGCACATTGCTGCTGACCGGACCAAACATGGGTGGAAAGTCAACACTTCTGCGTGCCACCTGTCTAGCTGTTATTATGGCCCAGGTCCTGTCTCTTCTCCACTCTACCTGTTTGATCATGCTAGACATCACTGATGAGTAGTTACTTTTTTCAAAAACAATTTGATCTCACTTAATCCAAGCAATGGATGCTGAGAGAAAAACTGTAACACTTTTTTCCCTTCCAACGGGGAAAAATATTACATAATTTGGAAGCAGGATGGTCATTGCACTTAAGCAGATATTGAGGATGCTTTATAAAACCTCAAGGGGAGTGCATTTTACATTTTTTACATTTTGCTCTGTCAGATTGTTCTGATGCCTCTTTATAATATGCCTCTGATTTCTTTCAGCTAGGGTGTTATGTGCCATGCGAAAATTGTGCGCTCTCAATTGTGGATATCATCTTCACACGGCTTGGAGCCACAGATAGAATCATGACAGGCGAGAGTAAGTACTTTAACAAAAGCGAATGAGCTTTATGGTTGCATGGCATGCATGTACGTTAGAGGGTGTTGCCTACCTAAACACATGATGCTTCAATTAATAGAACTTTTCAGGAAGTGGAAAATGCAGAATTGTGGTCTTAAAATGTGCATGCGTACAGATAGAGTTTACCTCTTAACTTTATGGATTGCCAATTTCAATTAACTTTGCTTCTATTTTCAGGTACCTTCTTTATCGAGTGTACAGAAACTGCATCGGTGCTTCAGAATGCTACTCAGGATTCTCTTGTTATCCTTGATGAATTGGGACGGGGAACGAGCACCTTCGATGGCTATGCCATTGCATATGCAGTGAGACCCTACTCTTTACTATTCTTCTAGTCTTCTTCTTAAGTGAAAGTCTTTGTTCTATTTTTAAGTACTATTTTCTACCTACTCTGAAGTAGACATGCTCAAAATTTAAACGCTCTTTAATTGCTCAGTAAAAAGGAAAAGAAAGGAAAACGCTTTAATTAGACACTATGTGTCGTAGAAATGTGGTCATCCATCGAAAAAAAAAAGACCTTGCCATGTATGATTGTGTTAAGGTTCTTCTCTTATCGTGTGATTTTGCTCCTGGCATGGTAAAACATTTTAGGTTGTTAGTACTATGACCTCAAGTTATTCATGTCTTTGATATATTCTTGTCCCTTTAATAATTCTCTGGATGTGCACAGGTATTCCGGCATCTGATTGAAAAGGTTAACTGTCGCTTACTATTTGCAACACATTACCATCCACTCACGAAAGAGTTTGCCTCTCATCCACATGTTACAATTCAACACATGGCTTGTGCTTTTAAGTCAAAATCCGATAGCTATTCCAAACGTGATCAGGAGCTAGTCTTCCTATATCGGCTTGCCTCTGGAGCATGTCCAGAGAGCTATGGGTTGCAGGTTGCCCTCATGGCTGGAATCCCAGAAGAGACTGTAAACATTGCTTCAAGTGCTAGCCAGCGGATGAAGAAAATAGTTGGAAAAAGTTTTAGGTCAAGTGAAGAGAGATCAGAGTTCTCAACTCTTCATGAAGAATGGTTGAAGACCTTAGTGTCTATCTCACGAATAGAGGATTGTAAATCTTTTGATGAAGATGTTTTGGATACATTAGTCTGTTTGTGGTATGAACTAAAAACTTCATTTAAATCAGGCAACTAGAGATATGGAGCGCCGCAGGTAGGGTCAATAATCTGAGTTTTATAGGGCCGCTTGTAAAATTATGCTTAATACGTTAGTGATTAAGCACATTTATTTTCATTTTGGGAAACAAAAGGCTTCTTTATTTTGTTTTTGTTCTGGAGAAAATTGAACAAATAGAAAATATGCCATGGAAATAGTATATGAGAATGCATTAATGTATACATGATTTTTTTTTCCCTCGGACTGAGGCTCACTTAACAACCTAAAAGTCAGACATTGGACAAGATAATACCTAATTTGATGTGCATATTGAATGTGACGTTGGTAGAAGGATACCATATTTTATTTATTTGGAACTTCATTTATAATGACGATATTTGCGTATGAGATGTATAAAATTAAGTTCAAAATAGTGGAGAGCTTTACTGTCTATTGGTGATTATTGTTTTATTTCTAGTCAGGCCAAAATTTGAATGGAAAGAAATGGAAATAGAAACACTAAGATAAGAATTAATTTATAAAATCCCTCTTTAATGGTAATATTATGATATGAGTATGCAAGGTCAACAGACTAATTACAAAATAAAAATTTAAGGATAGCCAAGTGTTGATTTTCAAAGAGGGACCGCCGTACCGGATGAGGAACATCGGGGCAGGAGTGGGAGTTTATTTTGTATATATAATTTTTTAAATATATATATATATATATATATATATATATATATATATATATATATTTTTATAAACATAATTTTTTAAATTTACATGAAAATCAAACTACAAACTATTATTATAATTCCATTTTTTTTATTCGACTTATATACATAACATTGAATCGATGCTATTTATATAATCTCGCAAATGTTAGTTAGAGGTCAAAATATTGAAGTTTAACTCTAAAAGTAGGTACAATTTACATGTCCAAACTTTCGTGAGTTGGGTAATTGATGAAACAATGGAAAAATAAAAAATATTCTTAAAATTATATAAGCAATAATTTTTATATCAAATTTTTTCTTAAATATTCATTGATTTTAATAGAACATCAAATTAAGAAAAAAAAAATGAGAAATTAAGAAATACAATATATTTTCTATCAGCCGCTCAAGTGGCACTTTTTTTTCATGCAAAGTGGTCTCTTTTATTTATGATCAAGAGTTTTATAAGAGTTACGTTATAGGAAAAGTGATTGTGTAATGTTATAGAGATTCGTTTTACGTGCCGTAGTTTTTTTTTTTTCAAAAAGTGTGGGCCTCACAAAATATTGTGTGTGTAGGAAACTTTTTTTTTTTTTTTTTGTAATAATGTGTGTAAGAAACTTTGTTGTGTCATGCTAAATGACAAATGCAAACCCCTATGATTAATTATCCTCTAAAATTTCTTTTTCTTTGAAAAAAAAAACTCTAAAACTTCTTTAATAATAGAGTAAATACCATTTTTAGTCCCTAACAAAAAACACGGTCCCCACTTTAGTCCCTTACAAAAATAAATTAGTCAGTTAGTCCCTAACAAATTCAAAGTGGACCCATTTAGTTGAAATCGTGGTCCCTCACAAATTCAAAAAAGACTCCTATTAATCTCTCAAAAGGACTAAAATGGGTCTACCTTGAATTTGTAAGGGACTAACTGACTAATTTATTTTTGTAAGGGACTAAAGTGGGGACCGTATTTTTTGTTAGGGATAAAAATGGTCTTTACTCTTAATAATATATCAAAAGTTACACTATTAGTATAGGTGGCATAGAAAAGACAATTGCAACTTACTTAAAGAATTACAAACGTAACATTACTACTCCAAAACAAAATAGCACATCTCCTATTCAAATATTAATTTGTAACCATAGAAAAATTCCAATAAGACAATAAAACAAAACAAATTAAATCAACCACATCTTTACCAAACAATCCGGCAATCTTTTTTCCTATGATACTTTTGTAACCTCATAGACATACGAAACTCTCTCCAAAAATCCCTCTCCTTTGTACTCGGTCTTCTCCACTTCTCTCACTATGTAACCTTCATGTACTGACCAAGTATTTCCTCCAATAAAACACATTCCCAAAAAGGAAAAAATAAAAAAACTTCCTTTCATCATCACTTTCTGTTTTTGGCAAAAACACCACTTTCTGTTACACATCAAGCGGTGTGTGAAAATAAAAATAAAAAATTTATGAGGTGATGAAAATTCTGAAGCAAATAATCAAACTGTACTAAATTTCAACATTACCATCATGCACGAACACAGAGAGTAACATTCATTGTATGGTAAACCGTTTTTCAAAACGAAACCTTTTTCATCTTTTCACATGCAACAATGGAGAATAACATTGTAGAAGAAGATTTCATGAATGGATCAGAATTACAAGATGATCAAAACAAGAAGGGCACAACGAAATCCAAAAGAAGACAACTAGGACTCTCATGCATGTTAAACACCGAAGTTGGTGCTGTTCTAGCTGTGATACGTCGTTGTTCAGAATTCAACCCTCTCTATAACATCCCTTCCTCAGAAGAAAGCTATGACTCTTCCATTGTTAGTTCCTTGAAATCACTTCGTTCTCTCATCTTCAACACAGAACAAGAATGGCGCGTCATTGACCCTTCTATATATCTATCTCCTTTCCTTGATGTTATTCAAAGTGGTGATGTACCTGCTTCTGCCACCAACGTTGCACTTTCAACCCTTCTCAAGATTCTCAAGTTTCCATTCTTTGATGACAAGACCCCAGGTACTAAAGAAGCCATTGAATCCATTGTCTCAGGGATCACAAGCTGTAGGCTCGAGAAAACCGACCCTGTTTCTGAGGATGCAGTTATGATGAAGATACTTCAAGTTTTGACAGGGATAATGCACCATAAGGCTTCAACATTGCTCACAGACCAAGCTGTTTGCACACTTGTGAACACTTGCTTTCAGGTTGTTCAACAATCCGTGAGTAGAGGAGATTTGCTTCTGAGGAGTGCAAGGTTCACCATGCATGAGCTTATCCAGGTTGTTTTTTTAAGGTTGTCTGAGATTGAGGTTAAGGATAGAGAAGGGGATAATAATTCGGAATTGGACATGGAGGATGGTGATGATGGTGGGAATCTGGAATCTGGTTATGGGGTTCGTTGTGCTATTGATATATTTCATTTCTTGTGCTCTTTGTTGAATGTTGTATCAATTGTTGAGGCAGATGGGTCTACCACTCATACTGCTGATGAAGAAGTTCAGATTTTTGCATTGGTTTTGATCAATTCAGCTATAGAATTGAGTGGGGATGAGATAGGGAAGCACCCAAAGCTTTTGAGGATGATCCAAGATGATCTGTTTCATCATTTGATTTACTATGGGACATGGTCTAGCTCGTTTGTCTTGTCCATGATTTGCAGCACCGTTTTGAATGCCTATCACTTTCTGCGAAGGTTAGATTTTATGAGGAAAGAAAGAACAAAAAGATTGAGGATAGTTTGATTTTATTTACTTATTTAATTGCTTGTGGGAGAAAGAGTGAAGAAATTTTCATTCATTTTTGTTGTTGTTATTTTTATCTTTTTTGATTTTGTTTTGCATTTTTGTAGGTTTACTCGTTTCCAACTAGAAGCTTTCTTTGGATATGTGCTAATTAGAGTTGCAACTTTGGGAAGCACAATTCCTGTTCAAGAAGTTGCAGTTGAAGGAATAATAAATTTCTGCAGGCAACCATCATTCGTTGTTGAAATTTATGTAAACTATGATTGTGATCCATGTTGTAGGAATGTGTTTGAGGAGGTTGGAAGGTTACTTTGCAAACACTCATTTGCAGGGAATGGACCCTTAACCAGTTTGCATGTCCAAGCCTTTGAAGGACTCTTGATTATGATTCACAACATTGCAGATAATATTGACAAAGATGATTCAAGCCTTTTAGACTCTTACTCAATTCAATTGACCGAGTATAAACCTTTTTGGGAGGAGAGAGACAAAGAAGATGAATTGGAAGCTTGGGTGGAACATGTAAGGATGAGAAAATTGCAGAAAAAGAAGTTACTAATTGCTGCAAATCACTTTAACAGAGATAATAAGAAGGGTCTTGAATACTTGAAACATGCTAATTTAATCTCTCATCCTCCCGATCCTATAGCATATGCTTACTTCTTTCGTTACACTCCTGGCCTAGACAAGAAGACAATAGGGGAATATCTTGGTGACCCTGATAGTTTCTACCTCCAAGTTCTCAAAGAATTCACTGAAACCTTCTACTTCAATGGCATGAATCTTGACACTGCATTAAGGTTTTATCTAGAAAGTTTTTGGTTGCCAGGAGAGTCACAAAAGATTCAAAGAATACTTGAAGCATTTTCTGAGAGATTCTTTGATCAGCAATCCTCAGACATGTTTGCAAGCAAGGACACTGTTCTCATCTTATGCTACTCTCTCATCATGCTTAATACTGATCAACACAATCCCCAAGTCAAGAAGAAGATGACAGAAGAGGAATTCATTAAGAACAATAGAGCAATCAATGCAGGACAGGATTTACCTAGAGAGTACCTTTCTGAGCTTTTTCAATCTATTTCCACTTACGCAATTGCACTTGCTCAAACTACTGTGTCATTGGACATGAGCCCAAGTAGGTGGATTCAGCTCATAAACCTATCCAAAGTAGCACCACCTTTCATACAATGTGACTTTGATCGTAGATTGTGTAGAGATATGTTTGCATGCATTGCTGGTCCATCAGTAGCTGCTCTTTCATCATTCTTTGAGCATGCTGATGAAGAGGAGCTTCTCCATGAGTGCATTGAAGGGTTATTCTCAGTTGCTAGGATTGCTCAGTATGGACTAGAAGATACCCTTGATGAGCTCATAACATCGTTTTGCAAATTCACTACACTGCTAAATCCTTATGCTTCTACAGAAGAGACCATGTTTACCTTCACTCATGATTTGAAGCCAAGAATGGCAACTGTTGCTGTTTTCAACATAGCAAACAATTTTAGAGACTCAATTCGAGGAGGTTGGAAGAACATAGTAGATTGCTTGTTGAAACTCAAAAGGCTTAAACTATTACCCCAATCTGTCATTGATTTTGAGGATGTCCCAACAACACCTGAATCAGATGCTATTTCTCCAACTGATGATCACAAATTTGGCAGCCAGAGAGTTTCTAGCATGATCACTCGTTTTTCACTTCTTTCGCAAGAAAACATGGAAGATGGTTTGACCCTTGGAAGTGAATTTGAACAGAACCTAAAGATGATCAAAATGTGCCGAATCGGTAGCATCTTCAGCTGTAGTTCAAACATCCCTAAAGAATGCTTACACAACCTTGGTAGATCTTTGATATTTGCAGCTGCAGGAAAAGGCCAAAAGTTTAGCACACCTGTTGAGGAAGAAGAAACTGTTGAGTTTTGTTGGGATTTGGTCACTGCAATAGCTTTAGCTAATGTTCACAGATTCCATATATTTTGGCCAAACTTCCATGATTATCTGCTAGCAGTTGCTCAATTTCCCATGTTCTCCCCAATCCCATTTGCAGAAAAAGCTATTCTAGTCCTTCTCAAGGTCTCTCTCAAGCTCTTTTCTACACCAAGAGATGACAAACTAGCTGAGGAGCTTATTTTCAAGTCTATAACTTTAATGTGGAAGCTTGATAAAGAAATTCTAGACACATGTCATGAGATCATATCACAAACAATTAGCAAAATACTCATTGAATACCCTGCAAATTTGCAGACTCCATTTGGATGGAAATCAGTGCTAAATTTGTTATCAGTTGCATGGAGGTATCCTGAAACCTATGATCTAGGAATTGAGGCCTTGATTTCATTATTCTCTGATGGAACTCATGTGTCACGCACAAATTATGCATATTGCATAGATTGTGCTTTTGGTTGCTTTTTAACCAAGAACAGTCCGGTAGACAAAAAGAAGAAGATACTGGATATTTTAGCTGATTCAGTAAACTTGTTGATTCAATGGCACAGAAACCAATACTCAGATCCAGGAAGTAATTTTAGTGCAGCAAGCAACACAAGCAATTCCTCCATGGAGGACAATTTCAGAGGCCCTTCTGCAAACTATAACATGAATCTATTTGTGAAACTTGGAGAAGCATTTAGAAGGACAAGCTTATCTAGACAGGAAGAGATAAGAAACCATGCAGTTTATTCTCTTCACAGAAGTTTCAATCTAGCTGAAGAGCTGCTTTATACATCATCAAACTGTATTAACTATTTCAACCTTGTGGTATTTGCCATGGTTGATGAGCTTCATGAGAAGATGTTGGAATACTCAAGAAGGGAAAATGCAGAGAGGGAAATGAGAAGCATGGAAGGGACCCTTAAACTTGCAATGGAGCTATTGTCAGATATGTACTTGCAGTCATTGAGACAAATAGCTGAGAGTCCAGCATTTAGGACATTCTGGTTAGGCATATTGAGAAGAATGGATACATGTATGAAAGCTGACTTGGGACATTATGGTCCATCAACTTTGAATGAAATAATCCCTGATTTGTTGAAAAAGATAATAACACAAATGAAGGATGAGGGAATTTTAGCTCCAAAAGAAGATGATGATATGTGGGAAATCACATATATTCAGATACAGTGGATATGTCCTGCACTTAAGGAGGAGCTATTTCCATTTTAAGACAAATGACAGAAAAATGTATAAGACAGATGATCTGGTACCAATTTTTTTACCCCATTTATTTATTTTGTAGCACACTACCTTCATTTTTTAAAGTTCTTTTCAGCTTAAGTAAAGTGATAGTACTTTATTCCATTATCCAGCAATATTCTCTTAATCTTAGTGGACAGTTCTTTAACATGAAGCAGGCATTTTACATCCTATATCCAAATTTCATTATACCATTCATTATATTCTTTATATCCTGATTGTGTGTTATGCATGAAAGAATTCTTTGTTAAAAACTTGGCTTCAATCACTTTCTTTTACAGTTCTCTGTATCACATTACTAGCATATGTACTTGTATGAGTTGTATCTCTTTTTAGATTCTTCAGATTAAGGACAAAGTCAAGGAAATCCCTTTTCAGATAGGACTGTAAACCCATTTCAAAGTCAACAGAATACTCCTGCTCAATCTATGACACCTTTGGCCATACATATTTATTTGAGCCAACATTCTTTTTTAGTCATTTTGCAATCAGTTCGGCTATAAAATTTTTTGATATTTATTTAAATTCTTAACCATTAAAAGCAAGGTCAACTTATTTCTTTAAAAAAAATTGACATCAATTTACTCCTTCAAATATCAATAATTTTATTATTTTAGTCCTTTAATGATACAACAACATTAATTTAATTCTTTAATCATACAACAACACACTTTTGAAAGACTAAATAAATATTTACTCTATTTAAATAAATTTTCACGTTCAAGTCAAATGGATTTATCATTTACCCCAACGAATGAAAATTTAAAGTCAAATGATATGTTATCTCAAGAAAGAATAAAGGATCATCAGGCCAGTGGTCGTGGATTGTAGACACGGCATATCATTGTTTAATGCCGGCACTATTTCATATTTCATTTCCAGAACGACTAGTAGACAAAATAGTATATGTTATGTGTTTAATTTTTAATGACAAATTTGCTATATATATATATATATATATATATATATATATAATAAAAATATTCAAAAAAAAAAAAGACAGTGGGAATCAGCATAGCCTTCAAGCCATAATCGAAAATTGTAAGTAGTGACATCTAGATTCAAAAGTCAATGGAGACGCATTTAAGCTAAGCATACTATCAGCATTAACCTTCCATCCTTTGAATAATGGTGAAACCACATATTTGGATGAAATGGATTACAGAAATATGCTGCAAATTATTAAAAGTGCACAATATTTATTGCAGGTTATTCTTACAAAAAATTTACATTTTTCGAATCAACTTCCTCATTATCAGAGTACACGGATGGGTTGAAAACTTTACTGGTAGCAACTCATCTCAGCTTGTAGACAATCTTTCCCCCAAAACTGTTGCACTATATCACCACCACCACCCTTTGAAAGAATGTAACTCCTAAGATAGAAAAAATTATAAAACAACGCAATATCATTTTTAAATATTATTGAAGAATCAGATACCTTGCACCATTTAATATTACTAGACAAATATGTACATATACAATTACGAATCCAAACATAGTATATATTCAAGAACCCGGATTCCGGGAACAAGATATAAGCCATAGGGTTGTGCATTGGAAAGCATAAAAGCACACCCCCTCTAATGCATAAAAGGCCAGTGAATCTGTGTAAAGCAAACTTCCCCATAGCTATATTTTATTAAAATCTTGTATGACCAAATGACCAAAGTAAGGCAAGGTAAACAAACTTCCCCATACAGCCATCCACCATTTTTGCACTCTGACAGCTTCTTGCTCAGTTCTTCATGCAACTTCTTTCTGTATTTCACACAGCAGCCTTATGGAAGCCTATATTTTGCACAGTCCCAGCCTTTGTTTCCAACCTCTGTTTCGGAGTTTCATATTGCTACATCCTCTGTTTCATTTAGTTATTTGAGTCTTAATGATGTATGTGTCCTAAGTTTTCAGTATCCCTTATCTTCGGTGTAGCCGTAGTAGCCACTTTATGACCTGCTATCCCAATATAGCATTTTTGGGGTCAGCCACTCAGCATTGCTATCCAATATTGATAATTATGCTTCCTCTTATTACTCATTTAAACAATTGGCATGTCAATTTTTCAATACCCGACATTCTTCCATTATCCTTTAGACTAAAACATTCAATACACATATGACCATTGTCTCAGTTTGAACCAAACTAATATTGTAATTTGTCCCCATTTCAGTCAGGTTATCCTTGCCCATTCCTTAAGTCAGTACTCACATTGAAAACTTAAAAGAATGTTTCTTATCTTAAAATAAATAATCTAAAAAGCATCTTTTCTTAATTTTACTGCAGATCCAGCAGTCTCTAATCTAATTTGTAAGGCATCACTTTCAGCACTTCACAGCTGTAAGTCAATTACTTGCTTTATAGTTTTATACAATGTTTATGTTATCGTATAGAATATATGTGTAGTTCCAATTTCATTTTGCTCTAGGTTGTCAATAGCGGCCCGTAGCGCCGCTAAACCGCTACCGTAGCGGGTAGCGGCGGTCGGCCGCTACAAACCGCGACGCTACGCGACATTGGCCGTAGCGGAAGATAGCGGCGTAGCGTAGCAGCAATACCACTACCCGCTACACCGCTCCCATGTTGGAATTTGATGGAGAATCCGGAGATGATGATGATTTTCTTCACTAGTTCACTTCTTGTACTTGACTATTTGACAATTTTATTGTTCATTTGTGTTTATTTTTGGATCCTTCCTTTATGTTCCTTGTATTTGACATTGATTGTGGAATTATGTGTTTGATTTTGTGTGACTTCTTATGTTTGAGCATTAAAACTAAAAGCGGTATTGCCTCGTTTCTTGACTGTTAGTATAATACATGTGGAATTAATACTTCACCGTAGCGACAATACCGCTACCCACTAGACCGCTATACCATTTTCGAGGTCAGCCGCTAACTGCTACTGACAACTATGATTTTGCTTGACGATTCATATATTATGAAAAGTCTAACTCTAACCAACACAAATCAATGATTTTTATATGATGTGTATGAACTATTCCAATAGCTAAAAGAGTAAGCCTCCTTTCCTCATAGTAAAATTTTCCTGAATGAACTATTCATATAAGTCAATCTTAGGAAAATTAATTAGAAAATCAAGTTCATGACCACCACAACCACAAATGTGACAACCCATTGAGAAAAGCAAATTACATTGATTACCAATACCATTTACCACATTGCTAAGGAAAGCAAATTAAAAAATTATTAATGTTCTATAATTTTACATTTCACGGAGAAATGAACATTAATATAGCAGCACTAAACAAACTTGGTCATCACATACAAGAAGAAAAGGGAGACAAAATTATCTGCATCCTATAATCAAATCATAAGCAATCCAATATGGCAGTGTAAGAAAATATAATTAAACAGTAACCAAACTACCTACATCATTCACTGAGATTCTCTGCAGAAGTGTCCTGGTCATCCTCATCTCCTTCCTGTATTTTTGTAATTTCAGCCTGAGCCCTTTCCAAAATCTGCTTCTTCTGCAGCTCCAACTCCCTATTAAAATCCAACCTCATCTTCTCCAACTCCATCATCTGCTGCCTCTTACTATTCTCAATCTTCTCATATATTTTCCCAAACTTCTGAATAGAATCAGCCAGCACCCTAAAGGAAGTCTCCTCCTCTTCATCCTCATCATCATCAGCACCACCACCGCCACCACCGGACCTCCTCGGCGCGGTCGCAACCCCATCGGAATCATTCTCGTCAGAGGTCTCAGACTCAACAGGACTATCCCTCATCTCATCAAACTCATTGGACCTATTCAAATACACCCTTGTATTCATGAACACATACTCACCAGAATCAACCCCACAAGCAAGCCCATACTCTTGCCTTGCAGATGAAGCCATCAACATATCCATCTTCTTAAAATAAGCCCATTTACAAGAACTCACACCCATTTCATCCATTCTAGCCTTCTCTTTCTTGTACCTCCTTTTAAGCTTATCCAACATGCTCCTACATTGTGCCACTGTCCTTTCAACCTCCAATTCCTCAGAAACCTTCTCAGCAACATCTTTCCATTCCTCAGACCTCAAACTGTTCCTCCCAAGTTGAAGGAATTTGTCACCCCACACCTCCAACAGCACAAAAGTCGCTTCCTCCGTCCATTCCTCCGAGCCCCCACGATTATTCCCGTACGAGAATTTCACGCGAGGTGCAAACTCGTAGTTCGAGATTCCCGAGGAGGAACCTCGTACCTTCCTCTTCCTCGTGTTGCTCCTCCCGAACCCATCATCCTCTTCGAAATTCCCGCCATACCCATTTGCGTTTTCGACTTCTTCGTCCTCCCCGGCGTCGTTTTCGTCGTCGTAATCGTCGTATTCCTCGGCTTCTTCGTCTTCCTCGTCGTCCACCTCCTCGTAGCGAGTGGCTACTGGTCTTTGATGATATGGGGCACCTCGAATTGGGTGTTTCTGGCGATGGGATGGGTTTTGGCGATGCAAAGAGAAGGACTTTGGAGGGTACCTTGCATCATCTTCCATATCGTCCATGTTATTGGGAACGCAGATATAGCACGAACCCTAATCGATTCTGAATCGTTCTAATTCGAGATTCCGAAAGGTAAGAGATTTGAGGAACCACAGAGAAATTGAATTTTGGGGAAGAAAGGGGGAAGCAAAATTAGGAGAGATTCGAAGAAAGAGTGAATTGGTTAGGATTTTTGTGCAGTGTTCAATTTGGGGAATTTTTCAACGTTCTCTCTCTCTCTCTCTCTCTCTCTCTCTCTTACTGAAAGACAAGTGTTCTTGGGCTAAATTGGAAGCCTGTTAAAAAATGGGCCTCAAAGGTAGAAGAAAATGTTAATGGGCTATTGCTAGAGATTAGAGTTTAAGGAGTTTAGATCCAATTTGGCCCAAAGTTAATGGCTATAACTTTTCAATGAACTCCAAAGTCCAAACACTAGAGATCCAAATATTTTTTTGCCTCTCCTTACGTAACTATGCCACACTTAAAGAACATGTGAATGTTTGTACTTTAAAAAGAAAAAGAAAAAAGAACATGTGAATGTTTCCACATGGTAATTACTGCTAGCTCATCTCATCGTGTTATGTGGATGATGGGATCGAAACAAACAACAACATTCATCTAGGACTCCTTAATTAAGAGACCAAATCCAAAAAAATTAACAAGATGAAATCAATAAATACAATTAAAATTAAAATTAAGAAATAAATCAACCAATGCTGTTAATCTAAATCTAACCTAAGGATAATTAAATAAATAATACGAGTGGTAAGCCTAAACCAAAATAAATACCGTAATCTGGAATCAAATATACTACTTTGAATCAAATATAATAGGCTAGGACAATTCTGATCATTTAGCTTGGTTACTTTTGGACTGAAAAATTTCTCAAAATTATTGTAGAATGAGATTCCTCTATGTATACTGTCCAACTCAATTCTAAAAAAGAAAAAGAAAAAGAAAAAAAGAAAAGCCTTATGTGCACAACATGAAACCTTAGAGTTATTATTTATTTATTTTGGTGATATGATGAAAGATATTTGTTCCCTTTGGAGTTCCAACTCAATTAGCTTTTGTTTAGATTACGAAGGTAACTTAATTATTTGAAATGCATGCGAACCAAACGCCATCCACCATGAAATCAAAACCAAAAACTACCCATGCAACGGGCCCAACATGGTAAAATGAGTCTTATCCCAGGTAAAACTCTTTTTTTAGAAAAAAAATAAATTATTTCAATTAGTTCATCGCTTCACGATTAGTCTGATTCGGGTGTGTATATGATTAAGGATTTAAACTCCTCCCTAAAATGATATTGGGGAGGATCGAACACATCCCAGATAAAACTCTTAGGTTAAGCCTTATAGGTATTTCTATTCAAAACCCTAACTTCTATGTCTATTATTCCACGCACGCACACATTTTTCTTGGCTCTCAATTCTTTATTTGTGCTGGCCACACATGACTGTTTCTTTCATAAATACCGCAAGCTTATGGATCATATAACAACACTGATCCACCAGAATCAAACAAGCAACAAAGAACAAAAATGCAGCAAAGATGCACTGCCACTGCCATATATAATAAAAATCAAACTGCAGTTAAAATTAAGGTTAAAAAGGATTTATAAGAGATTTACAAAAACTCTTAGTTTTATGATTTGAATTTTTCAAAACGAATAAATTTCAAACTTACGGAATTCGAATAAAAGATTGATAATTGTTCTCAAGAGAAGAATCCCGTGTGTCTATACATAGAGAGAGAGAGAGAGATTTTTTTTTAAGTCGAAGTTATGCACAGCACGTGTAAGAAACGGTGAATAAATTAGGTCATGCGACACTATTATAGCCACACAGCTTAACTACGCACTGTCTTAATAGACAATGGAGACAAGGCATGTTCTTACATGTCTAGCTTGTTTTAATTTAATTGCAAATCCTGCACCTAACCGAAGCTTCTCCCAATGAGTATATATATATACATATATATATATACACACTCAAATTAAGAATGTCATTAAGGTGTTAATTTAAATTGCTCATACGATCTAGTTGACTAGCCAAAACCTATAAAGATCCGTATTCATTATCCCGTCACAATCTACCACCTATAAACGGGTGCCACTACCCCAACAAAATAATGACAATATATTGTATTATGTTGTAGGGATGATTATATTTATCACCAATTAAATTTATCATCTCTTACTTTTTGTTTTGTTTTTGTAACGGTTTAATAGTGATGTAGAACCTAATAGAAAGAGAAAGATGAGACAGGAAAAAGAGATTTGTATCAAATGATAACTATTAATTTGATTTTATTCGATAACGTTTTTTAAAAAAATAGTGCATGTTTGGATCATGTATTTTTTAAGCTAGAAGTTATTTATAAATATAAGTTAGACCAAACAGATTTGGAGAAAAAACTCTTATCTGTTTAAAGGTAAAAGCTCTTAGAAAGAGCTTTTTTTAAGCTCTTATCTGCTTTTCTTGAATTGTATATTTTTTTTAAATGAAGAGCTATAGAGATAGTGAAAGATAATTTTATTGAAATATGTTCTTTTAAGTAATTTTTAAATTAAAATTTGTATGTAATTACCAAATAGCTTTTAGCTTTTTTCAAACTCTTTTTTTTTTATAAATGTTATACTTACAACTTATTTTTGTTTACAACCTCTTACAACCGTATCTTAATCGTAACGATTATTATTTTCGCAAATTAAACTCATTAATTAATTATTAATTTGTAATAAATGATAACCTTTGATTGACGAAAATACAGTTAAGATATAATTGTAAGAAGTTATAAACGAAAATAGGTTGTAAATATAACTTCCCTTCTTTTTTTTTTAGCTTTAACTTGTAGGTAGAAAGATCAACTTAATTTAATTTGTGGTAAGTATAAATCTCCATTATTCCACACACCACTGCTCTCTATATTGTGGTGTCATGCAAATTAAGTGTGGTGTCAGAAATGGCCCCTGAACCTGGCAAATTGTACTATACTATAGAGTTAATGGCTGCACAGGGAACAAGACCACCTTTGTTCCCACTCAAATACAGAATAGCAGAGTGGGCATGCATTGGCCAATCATCAATGCGAATGGAACGTCACGTTTCTAGGCATGTGGTAGCGCAGCTGGACGATTACAACGAGAGAAGGTAACTTGTGAGGTAGCAATAAACAACATTCGCCTAACCCTTCAACTGTACATTAAATAAATATTCATCTTAATTTTTTATTTTATTTTATTTTTTACATTTTTTGAAATAAAGAATATTAATTATTCGTGCTCACTTTCGCATGCAACTATGCAAGCGAGTAACTATATAAATGCATGCATATCCTATGGTGAACTAAGTAAAGTGTGTGTTTACTAGTCTAAGTTATTATCGTAAGATCGTTATGGATAGAAAGTTCATTTCAGTGGTTGTTCTAGGGATATGTTTAGTGCTTGGAATGTCCAATTATGTAGATGGAAGGAACCTGAAGAAAGCAAAGGACGAAGTGAAAAAGCCAGAATGGTTTTTTGATAGTTCCCCTGGAGTTTCAATTGGTGGTTTGGGGGATGCTGGAGGCCTTGGAGGTTATGGTGGTGGTGGTGGTGATTTGGGAGGTGGATATGGAGGAGGAGCCGGTGGCGGTGGCGGATATGGAGGAGGTGGTGGTGGTGGTGGTCTAGGTGGTGGATATGGAGGAGGAGGTGGTGGAATTGTGGGTGGAATTGGTGGTTATGGAGGTGTTTACAAAGGAATTGGAGGGATTGGGGGTGGAATTGGTGGTTATGGAGGTGTTTACAAAGGAATTGGAGGGATTGGAGGAGGTGTAGGTGCTATAGGTGGAGTTGGTGGTGTCATTGGTGGTAGTCTCAAGCATGTTGATGCAAATAAACCTTAAAAGTTGAGGAGTTAAATTCGATTTGTGAGTCATGCATGAATAGTGTTTCATTTTACGTAGTTTCTCATTGGTACTTTTGTTGATTTGTGTTTTTTTTCTTATAATGTTCTGTAGTCACAAATAAATTCATGGACCTAGATGCTTTACCGTGTTCACTTGATGTAAAAGATCCCAAAATATCTGTGTTCTAAATGTTATATATATGTCACATGTTATGAGTTGTGATTCGAGTTCTTGAATTAAGGTTGCCAAGAGAATATATGAGTATATTTTTTTTGTATTATGAGCATGCTAGGTTACGGTTACAGTTTTTAAAATATGTATCAAGTCATCAATCAACCCGTGGATTGGATATATCCAAAAATATGTATGAGTGACTTAAAGAGTTATTAACTTAGTTTGTGTAGTTAATATATATGGTCAATTTACTTCACGTCAAATAGTTTTAACAAAATAATTATAATTTTCATTCGATTTGGATTGAGTATTTGAAGTCAAATGAATAATTAGATAAAAGTGTTTAATTTTTTTTTTTTGTATAATATAAAAGCTTTTAATTTCATTGAAGTAAGCTTTATCAATCAAAATGATTAGTAGTTTTACATCACTTGATTAAGAGGAGGATTGAATAAATTATGAAAACGCATATCACTACTAAAAAATGTTATTTTTTCGACGGAAAAATTCCGTCGAAAACAAAATTTTCGACGGAAATAAAGTCATCGAATATCTCTTCGTGGGTAATGTATTTTTCGACGGAATTAGAAATTCCGTCGAAAATTTTCGATAGAAATAATTTCCGTCGAAAAAATTTGAGGGAATAATTTCGGTGGAAATTATTCGACAGAAAATGAATGAAGTTTCGTCGAAAAATATTCTAATAATTTTCGACGGAAAATAAATTCTGTAGAAAATTTTCTATGCAAAATTAATGAAATTCTGTCGAAAAATCTTCTAATAATTTTCGACGGAAAACAAATTCTGTCGAAAATTTTCCACGGAAAATAAATTCTGTCGAAAATTTTCGACGAAAAATTAATGAAATTCCGTCGAAAAATCTTGTAATAAATTTCCACAATTTTTCGTCAAAAGAATTATATTTCTAATAAATTATTTCTTTTAACATTTCAAAATTTTGGTTAAATTCCACCAAAATTATTTGAATTAATTATTTAAAAATTATTTTTCATATAGATATTAATTCAACAAAAACTTAATGGTGCACCTGATAAACAAATAAGAATTTCAAATATATAATACACAATTAAATATAATAAAAAATATTAAACATGTACAAGTTTATATGGAAAGCTATTATAATGAAAAATTTCTTTTTGTATACAAGGAATTTCAAAAATTACAATACAAAATGGAACTTGTGAGCACTGTTTTCATCACTAAGTCTCATCATTACTTTCCTCTGTCTCAATAGAACTTGTGATCCATGTTCTCTTCCCTCTTGATTATTTGTTGATAGCATTACCATTAAACCAGTCACCTGCATTTAAAAAATAAATAAAAAATTACCTCTTTTCTTGTTAAGGCAAAAATTACAATATATTCCTATAACTACATCTATTTATCTATTTGTGAAAGGCATGACATCTCGTAACCATCCAATCTTGAATGAGACCTTGATGATTAAGTAAAAAAAAAAAACGAAGAGAGCAAAATCAGGTTCAAAGAACAAATGAATAATCAATCTCCATGAATCTTCCTTCCACATCAATCATGATATCTAAAGCAATGTCTATGTCAGTACTTTGATGGCACTAAAATCTAGTCCTAATGTTGTATAAGTTCCATCATGAATGGAAAATCGAAAACAACAATTAGTCATATGATAGTTAATAAAAGTGCAAACACACCACTACAAACATAGAATAATGATAATATTAAAGTTATAGAGATGTCTAGATTTGACAATAGCATATATCTGCTTCCTATTTGTCAATTGGTTGGTTATGTAGAAATCCATTATGCTCATGGAAGGTAACACACACTAATCATTCATCCCTCTCCTTAAAGAAAGAACCCACACAATCACTACAAGAAATCTATCATTTAAAGGCGGTTCAATTTTACCATCAAAGACGGTTATAACCACCTGCAATTACTTCAATTAGCGGTTAGACATCCGCCTCTGTTACTACCGTCGAGACATCATTCTTCGACGGTTTTACAAAATCGCTGGAACAACCGTCTATCGAATACGCTAACGATTCCTTTAGCGGTTGATGCGGACGGCATTTCATTTAGAGAATCATCGAAAATAATTGAAAGACGGTTAGTTGAACCGCCTCAACAACTCATATACTGTCATTTCATTAGCGGCTATATTTGGATTAATGGAATTTATGTTTTACATCACAATTTTGTTGTTCTTTAGGATTTTGATTTACTTTTTAATTGCATAAGAATAAGATTTAGTTTTTTTTAATTAATTTTCCTTAAAAAATATCTTTACGCCATTCATTAACCACTGAATATCTAAGGGACATATTGCTCACATACATAAAATACCAACTGTATGTAAAGCTAAGCACTCATTCATTCAGCGAAAAATATAGGGCAAAGATTCATAAAAGAAAATCATAGTTATCGGGAATACATGCGCATAAACAAAACAATTATCGAGGGTACTTAAATGTCAAATACTCCAAAAGTCATAACAAAACTTAAAAACTATCCATGATGACTAAAGATTATCCAAACTTAACAACAGAATATCCTAAAAACCACATCCATCAATAATATCCAGTTGATGAATGACAAAATAAAGTAATCAAGTTTGTGGTGGAGGGGCAGCATCACGTGATGAATTTGGTCCATCACTAGGTGGCTCATGACTAGCATTGGAGGACTTTCTCATCCCTAAGGAACCCAAGTCAGTAATCTGATGCAATGGGATTAAAAAAAATAGCATCAGTGAAGAGACCAATTCAATTTGTATAAAAACTAGTTAAAATGGCAGCTGTAAAAACTAATAACTGATTGATCAACTTAAATAGTATGCAGACCTGCTAATTCCATATATATGCAATTAGAGCATATAAAAAACAGAGTAGATAAAGCTCTTACACTAATTTTAACATTTTTTTCAATATATTGTACAATTAGAACAGATAAAAAAAAGCAGTTTCAACCAAATATTTAACTAAACAGTCACACTTTTATTGCAAACACAGACAATATAGCTATGTATCACATGAACAACAAATTAGCCACTCAACAACATTCACACTATTATGTCCACACTATATATGGTATCACATATTGAATATTTAACAACATTTAACAGTTATAACTATTAGACAATGATTCAATATATAAATTGAAAACAAAAAGCCCACAAATCAATGAATTGCAATTAACTTCCAAAAAACAACGATTATTGGAGCAAGTGAATATCATATTTTCAAAAATTAACTGATTACATTGTAGTTGAGTTCCAAAATGTATTTTTTGAAGATTTGAATATAAAAAACTATACTAAGAATGGAAATTTTATGGCACAAAATTACCTTGTTGTCTTTGACAGTAACTTATGCCTTTTAAGGCCTGTCGAGTGGATGAGGTTGTTTCAGGAAATCAACCTTCTTTCCTTTAAATCTCTCACCAAGTGCAGTATCAGCACTTATTACACAGACCCTGCACGTAAAATAATCAAAATATAAGATTACACAAGCCTATTGACATATTAAAAAAGATACATATAACTAACTACATATCCTCAATACATTACTAATAGCAGACCATCAATAAAGTTAAAAAGAACCTGTCAATATGCCAAAAACAATAAACAATAATCAGTAATAATGAAGCATAAGCAAATATTCAAAGAGACAAAAACAGAAAATGATAACTTGGAAGTCCTTTGTCACCATGCAAACTCTGGAGGGGAGGTTACCTTCGAGCTTGCTACAAGCAAAGTTACACCTACAGCTCCGGGAAAAGGAAGGAAGTTTGTGTCTTACAAAGATAAAGTTCTTTGCTTAAATAGAGATGACTAGGTCTCAGACAATGAAGAAGTAAAAGGTGTCTCACAGTAGCAAGTAAATCAACTCATCCATCAGCAAAAAATAAAATAAAATAAAAATAAAAAAACAAAAAAACATCGGTTCAAAAAGAAAATCACGAAAGCCAAAGACCGGTTCAAAAAACTGCAATGCATTGTGTTGGATTCAAAAATCAGAATCAAAAGTGAAGAAAAGAACACCCAAAAGTGAAGAAAGAAGGCACCTTGGGGGTTCTAGAAGTCGGAAATCAGAAAATGATGACTCTCTATGAGTTGATGACCCACCAAGTTTCAGAAAAGGAGCCACCTTGCACGCATTCTTCACCGTTGTGATCTGCAGAAAAAAAATAAAAATAAAAACCAAATGGTGAAATGATGAAATGTTGATAAAAACCCAACCTTTACATGGAAGAGTGTAAGACGAACGTTGGAACAGAAGGAAAAGAGTGAAAAAATCGTTTTAAGTGCGGAAGAGAAAAAGAAGACTGAAAGCGTGTGTAGTGGGAACTGAAAGTATGAAAGGGTAAGTGGGAAACTGAAAGGATGAAAAGTTATGTGGATGAAAAAAATGGGGAAATAGTAAATTTTGGGAATAGAGACAGGGAACATTTCATCTAGTTAATGCTATTATTATTTAACGAATAAATGGGAAAAGAAGATTATAATTTTCCATTGGACACAATGGTGAACGAGACTTACTGCAACCACTTGATGAGCACGGGTTCAAACTTGGTCTCGCGTTTTACTTTAATATGTAACTCAAAACCGCTTCCAAATTCAACTTAAACCGCCTCATGTATATTTATTCATTGGCGGTTACATTACACCGCCTGTGTTTAACTTAATAATCCGACCTTTCAAGAAAGAGTCGCCAATACCGCCTGGACTAATTCATTGAAGGCGGTTTATAATAAACCGCCTCAGAAATCCCGCCTCTATGTGCCAGCTTTCTTGTAGTGAATACACCCCAGAAACATCCAAA